CTCTTTTTGTCTACATTCAGAAATACTATGTCCGTATCGTCGGCAATAATTACACCATTTTTTGATAGATGGTTTGCCTTTAAAGTTTGGGTGTTTTTCGTAAATATTGAGTATTTCAGTGATTTTTTCAACGAGATCTGTATCTGATTCCTGTATATTGTTAATATTTGTGGAAGCTGTTTCAATTCTGTTAACGTATTGTAGTTTCAGATTTTCCGTTTCTTCGAGTTTCATTGTGATTTCTGCTTGTTCTAATTTGTCGGCTAGTTTTCGAAAATCTAAATCGGGTTCTCGAATTGAAGAAGGGTGGGATGCTCTCTTTTTTATTGCTATTTTCCTTAATTGTGTTGTTAAGGTCATCATTAAGATTTCTGTCATCTTTGTGTTTTTATAGTCGTGTGTATTTAATGAATATGCTTTTCGAACTAGTGTTTCGATTCGTACTGCTAATTGCTTGATGGTTTCGTTTGGTAATCTGCGAATTTCATTACATAAAACTCTTTGTTGTTGTTTGTTTCTTTCGGAGTCAAACATTTTTGAAAATTCTTGTGTAAACCTTTTCCAATTTGATTTTATTTCTAGGGGCAATACTGAAAACCATTTTTGGGCTGCGCCATCTAAGGTTGTTCGTATCAACGCTGTGCGTCGATGTATCCAGTTTTGATGTAGTGGCGTATTAATTGGTTCAGGTCCTATATTTAAAATCAAGTTTGGTGTTACTGCATTTAAATAGTCTTCTACAGAGTATTCAGGGTCTGTTCCTGTGAATACCATTAAAGGTTTATTTGATGTTATTGATGATCCACCCATAAGGTATGGAATCATTGTCATTTGTAATGATTCTGCTGCGTTTGGCATTTGAGAAAAATTTGAAGGTTGATTTCTTGTTATTTCGTATTGTTGAAGATAATATGGGAGTGGTATTTCATTTTGCATTTGTGTTGGTTGATACGAGTGTGCAATCATTGGGTTTTGTTGTTGTATTGGTTGAAAAGATTGTGTATTAATTGGGTTTTGTTGCTGAATTGGTTGTTGATGTTGTGTATCTATCGGTTGTGGAGAAAAAATTCTATGATTTGTATGTGGTTTCTGTATTCCTTGTCCACGATATTCTTGATTATATGGTGCAAATATGTCTGGTTGTAAGAAATCATCATCTGAGGATAAATAATCCATCTGATAAGATGTCTGTTTTTTATTTTTATTTTGTTGAAAAAATGGATAATTTTCACTACGATCCTGTGGAGGATGTAAATTTGTTTGAAAATTTACTGAATTAGGTGGTGCCATTGGGTTATCCCTGTTTCGAGATTTTGTATAATGGCTAAAATTTTTTCGTGGTTGATAATTTGTTTTTGATGGATGTGTGTAATTATAATTATGGTCTGCAAAATTGTTTCTAGTGAACGTTTTGCGTGTTTTTGGCGGTATTGTCATGGGTCTATATGTTTGGTAATCCATGTGTGAATACTTTGGGGCAACCGAAGGTTTAACGGTTGATTGTAAGGTTACCTGTGTTTGTGAAGGGTTTGTATTTCTTGGTGTTGTTAAGTTTGGACGTATTGGTGAAATACTTTGTTGTGTAGTTGTTGTGTGTACGATTTCTTCATTTATGAAGTGTGATGGTGTCTGGATATCTTGTTGAGTAAGATTCCTAGTTCCATTGAGGTTTTCATTGTGTATGACTGTAGAGTTTAAACTATTATTTTGCGTATCGGGTAAAAATGTATTATAGTTTAATGGTGTTGCATCAATGGTTAATGCTATTACTCTTACATAATCTCTTATGTAAGATATCGTGCTTATTGCTTGACTCGAGATTGATTGTGGGAAGTTTATAAATGCGTGATGAGACCATTCGGGGTCCCAAACATAGTCTGATTGTTCTGTGATAGCTGTATCATCGTTTGAGTTTTGGGGTCTAAAATTTTTTCTTGCTTGTGAAATTAAATCAATATTGTGTGTGAAGTAATCGATTATGAACCATGCCAAAATTTTTTGTAGGTCATGTTTTGTATGTTGTGAAATAACTTCTTTCGTGAAATTTTCTTTAATGATGTTTAGATAAATAGAGAGTAGTGTGATTTCATGTCGTACTCTTATATGTTTAGATGTTTCTGTCGGTGAGACATTTGGTATTGGGATTTCGTTTTCTAATATCGAAATATAACTATATATTATTGCGAAAACTTCATTGGTGAATATGGAGTTTGCTCTTTGTGAGTTATGATATTGGATGCTTTTGATATATTCTGAAAATACTTTTGAAAATTCTAAATCAAGGTCGTCTGTTTGAATTGTATATTTACTGTGATTCTGGTTTGGTGAGGTGAATTCAATGGAGTAGATTCCGTATTGTTGTGTTAAGTTACATATATCTTTTAGATAGTGATCGATAATTTGTCTTTTGATTTTTACATCTGGGAACTCTGTTTTACATGGACTGATTCCGGGTTCAAATAAATTTAAGAGTAAATTTTTGCAAAATATATGTTGTCCTCTATCAGTGGTTGCATCTACTATAAAAGGAAAGATATCATCATCATCTGGACTTTCTTCACCTGGGGTGTGCGTTGAGCTCATTTTTTCGTTCGATGACTGTTAGTATGTAATTATTAATGTGTCTAATTGGTTGATTCCAATTGTATAAATGTACTGGTTTGTGTTTATACTGCTTTTTTATTCTTCTTTTTCCTCTTTTTGATGAATTTGATGTTGTTTCTGAGTCAGAGAAATATAATTGATCGTGAATTGGGCAATTTTTATCTATTGATTCTTTTAATTTATAAAGTTCGTCTAAACTGTTGGTTTCTGATTCTGAAAATGTGTTTCGGTTTTTTGAAAATCTTTTTCGTGTTATTTGTCTTTGTTTAGTTATTATTTTTCTCTTTAGTGTTTGTCGTTTTGTTCGAATGTATCCAACTGTTTGTGTATGAGGTGTGATTACAAGGTCGTATTTTTTGTTATCAATTTCATAATTGTGTAAAACGATTGTTTGTTTATTTCCCAGGTTTTTAAATGACATAAGGTTTAGGATGACGGGTGCAAAAGGTTGTTAAGTGAATTCTATTTGCTTAAACTGTTAGTCCTTACGATTTTTTGGTTAGCTTAACCTGGGTCTATTTGTTCAGGGTTGGAGAGAAAAGTATATCTATTCCGAAGAATGATTTTTACTTTCTCGTGACTAATATAAGCTAAGGTGTTAACTTACTCAATCTTACTTAGGGGTAGTGATTGTGTTCAAGGGTTGGAGAATAGTAAATCGATCCACTAGGTTCAGGTATAATTAGAACGCGAGTAGTTCGTTAGGTACTATTTTAAACTTACTAAGTCTAAGATTTATCCTGGGTCTGGTAAGAGAGGGGGTCAAGTGAAGGATGAATAACCGAAGTTCTTCACTGTTTATCCTAATTTGAATGATTAGTTTTGTTTAATAATTTATATCAGTCTTGGGTCTTTAGAAAGGGTTGGATAGTGAATCAACGTTTGAGGTCGTTAGACACTAGTTAAGTGGGTGGGGGAGAACAAAGTTGTTCTTTTTGATCCAAGGATAGGCCTTGATGATCAAGTTTGAAATTTAATTAAGTAGAAAATGATTTAAGATCCAAGGATAAGCCTTGCTGATCTGATTTTAAAATTAAGTGAATTTAAGTTTTAATAAAGATTTAAATTTGTGTAAAGAAAAGATTTAGTGTTTTGATGATATTAGTGAGTTTATGAATGCTGTTATGTTTAGGTGATGAAGCTGGAACAACAGGATGATTTATGATTACTAACCATTTATTGTCATGCTACTAATTTTTATTTTTATTTTCCAATAAATATTTTTCAAACATGTTTTATATATTACTGCAGAATTTTAGGAAAACGATCTGAGATCTTTTTATCAATCGTTATTGTATATTAATAATTTTGTTTAGCGCCTGAAATGATTTTGAAGATTGACTTCAAGGTTTTATGTTTGCAAATGAAAATCTAAATTCATTGCCAGTAGTATTCTAAATATAAAAGTTTGTTCTGGCTTTTGCCGAACTATCATATAACTATATGGCAAGTTTCTACTTTGTCGTATGTCGTCTCTGGTTCGAGGTCTTCTTCCAATTCCGGGTAGTTCTGTTATGGTTCGGAATATTGGCTCTGATCTATTGAGTCGTAGAGACATTTCGATTAAATTATCGTCGTATAACATTTTGTAAATGTTTTTGTCTAATTTCTAATCTATTTTGGTTAATTCTAAGCTATTAAGGTCTTGTTCGAGACTTATGGTCGCACCAGATGAGTTAGGACCGAAGTGTATAACTCATAGAGTATTTTCGGATAGGGTACACCGTCTGCTCGTCACGCTATCTTATTTTCGGCCGGATAGATTCGTGCAACTTCTTAGTCTAATACCGATCCTAATCTTACTCTTATACTATCTAGTCTCAGGTTGTTTAACTAGTCTCTGCTAGGCTCAATAGATCTAGGGTATACTGGTTTATTGCGGCTGCTGAAGTACTCGGGAGAGTCCAACTAATTTCTAAGTTAAATTCAAATCTCTCTGGTGCTGAAATTACAAGTAATTTCAGCACTTACAAATAAGTGGGTTGTTAGTTAGATGGATCATGATTGGTTAGTATTAAATACTTTACATTGGTAAAATATCTAATTTATCCAATCATCAAATGTAGTTTAGATCAGGTTCCATTTTTATAAATAAATATAACTATTTAACTTATTATAATTAAAACTATAATAATTACTATCAACAGTGGACTCTTTTACAGTTTCCCCTCCTCTAAAAATTATCAAATGAGCTGGTTCGAAAATTGTTCAAACAGTAATTTGTACGAAACACCTGTTGTAATTATTTGATAACTTGTTCACGCTGATGACACTTTTTGATGCAGTTTAGAACATGAAAAGTCAGTGTAAACAACCTTTAGAAAACTTATAGAAATATTTTGAATGGGAAAATTTTGGATCTGTAAAACAAGTCAACTGTAGTCGGACTATCTAACCGGCAGTGTCCCACAAGTCGACCATGACATGGTCATCATCTATGGTCTGCTCCACTCTACTCAACTCCACCCCCAGTGTACTCGCGTGGTTCATATCGAACTCCCCCGTAGTGTACCGCAAGAGCAGATTAGTCTTGCCCACGCCACTGTCCCCCACCACTGCAAACAACAACAAAAACAATAGCAGCAAAACAAAAACAAGAGAAAAAAAAACATAAGAAAAAAAACAATAGAAAAAAAAAAAACAAAAACAAAAACAATTAAAAAAAAAACAAAACAATAGAAAAAAAAGGCAAAAACAATAGCAAAAAAAAAACAAAAAATAAGAGAAAAAGAACATTAGAAAAAAACAATAGAAAAAAAAAAAACAAAAACAAAAACAATTAAAAAAAAAACAAAACAATAGAAAAAAAAGGCAAAAACAATAGCAAAAAAAAAACAAAAAATAAGAGAAAAAAAAACATTAGAAAAAAACAATAGAAAAAAAACAAAAACAAAAACAATAGCAGCAAAACAAAAAACAAGAGAAAAAAAACATTGGAAAAAAAACAATAGAAAAAAAACAAAAACAAAAACAAAAACAATTAAAAAAAAACAAAACGATAGAAAAAAGGCAAAAACAATAGCAAAAAAACAAGAGCAGCATACCCTACACTCTATTGAGAGCCTATTGCTAAGATGTATGTCGTCCACACGCTATAGTTCAATCGAATTTTTATTTTACGAGATAGGGAATTTTTTTATTCTTGACTAGCAAAGAGCAATTTTCAGCTGTTTTCAGCATTTTCAGGGCTTTTTTAAGAAACTTTCGAATTTATTGAAAAAAAAATGTTTCACACGCGAAATTGAACAGCGCGAAATAAATTCCAAAAAAATGAAACAAGCGATGAAATGAAAAACAAAATTAATAAAAAAAAATTGCACTTCCGCCGAGCACAGGAATTACAGCAGGGATGCGTTTAGTATTTATACAAGTGATAGGGCAGATATTCGAAAAAGTATTTAAAAATTTGTGGAGTTTTTTGAAGTGTTTTAGTAGAGAATTTTGTCTCCCTCCTCGATACTAACTCTACTCTTGAACTGGAAATGAACCGTCTGAGTTTTCTCATTTGAATATTTTATGTAACTCGCCTTATCCGCACACAGTAAAAAGAGAAAATAATCGTTTATTCATTGATTAAAATCAATTTTTCTTCGATTTTTGTAAGACTGGTTCTAAAATCATATTAAAATCGATTATTCACGCTTGAAACTGAGTGCGGTTATCTATACTGAAACGAAACTTTCTTAAAAGCGGGCTTTTGCCAGCTAGTCAAAAGCTAAAATAGTTTTTAACTCCTCTCCAATCTAATACGCAAAGATTCAAAACTATTGAATCACTGTCGCCTGCAATAAGGTCTTAATGAACTACTAAGAATTTGAAACAAACGCCCACCTATGACTTTGAACATAAAATCTGCTGCAATCCATTTTTGTGTCATTTTCTCGGAAACTGTCGGTAGATTTGACAAAGAAGTAATTTTCTGCTTTTGATTTTAAGGAAGATAAGCAGTCAAAATTTTGTTTTGTTTTCTCTTTTCTTGCTTAGTTTTGATTTATTAACTTTTTCTTAGTTGGGAAAACTGTTTGTAGTCTATTTGACTTTTCTGTAACTGTTGGAAAAGTTACCTTTTTTGACTTTTCAAAAGAAGTCATGTGTGACAGGCTGAACTTTGTTTGATTTCTTTTTACTAAAACATGAGACTTCGGAAAGATTGGTTTTTTTAATGTTCTGATTAAATTACCCGGACAAAATGAGCAAAAACTGGAACTTTAAACGCCCTTTTTTTGTCAAACTGGAATGAGACTAGACAAAAAATGAAGAGAACCAAAACTGCTCAACCAAATTTCCAGAAGTATTATGTTGCAGTTATAATGCTGCAAATTGCTCTGCAAAACTCAGGGCCGAAAGTTTATCCCAAAAATGGGTCTCAAATTGTATCAACGTGAACGTTTTATGAATTACAAGAAAATTCTAGAAGCGTATGCTCTCAAAAACAAAAATGCTCAAATTGTTTGAAAATGGATTTCAAGCTGTGAATTGATAAAAATTTAAATAAAAGAAAAAAAAATTGGCTATCGGACAAAAATATTATTATTTGTAAAATTTTTTGGAGGTTATTACCTACTGAAGCTTTTTTGGGCAACAAAACAAACTCAATTTGACATCATTTGCTCAAAACTTGACCTTATAAACGTAGCGTAACTTTTGAATGAATAAAAATATTGAAAAAAAATGACATTTCTAGGGTGAATGCTCAAACATAGATTGCAAAGACATTTAAAAACAAGACTAAAAATTTGTTTTTTTTTCGTAGTCAAGGAATTTAAGATCTAAGATTTCAAATTTAATACAGAAAAAACTAACTGCTTATTTTATTCAGAGTTGGGTTCTTCAATCAGAACGTTGTTTGATTTTTAACAAAAAATGTTAGCTTCCAGTGTAAATGCTTCCACCATCAGCTTTTGATAAATTGTAATCACATTTTCTCTCATGCGTGGAACTCGCCATCCTTCAAGTGATGTCTGAGACGTGACTGACGTTTGTGACAGTTTGGTGGTTGATAGAATATGATTTTGAAAGATGGAGATCGAATTGCAAAAAATATACTAGCTGATTCCAGCGAATGCATTTTCAAGCTGGGTATAGATAGTTTTTTTGTTCAGTCATGAATTACGCTGAAACGAACAAGTAAACTGGTCCAAAAAAAAACAAAAGCAGCCTCTCACACAGCCGAACAAAGATTAAGAAGGGAACAATTACCAAACTTTTGCGCGAATAGATAGAATTTTTCTGGCTATCCAACTAGTATGTATTTATTTCTAGTATGTGTTGGATAGTATACCTTTTTAGAAATTTGTGGGGCCGTATAAGATTATATTGTGTGCCCGTATTGTGGGCCCTTCATCAATTGGCCCAGTAGATTAAGCGTAAGTTTTAGCTAAGTAAAAATGTCACGAAGATCTCAGATCCAATTGCAACCCAATAATTTTAGTGAAAATTTTCGCAAACTTTGTACTTGTTATTTTTTGTCTCATCTCAAACTAGTTTCAAAAAAATTTGTTTAAAAAAACAAACATTGTTCATTTTAATAGGATAGTTTATATCAGCAATGCATCGATAAAAAATAAGGAAATTTGTAAAACTTGGCAATTTTGCTTTTGAATAAATTGTTTCAAAATTATGCTCTCTCGGAGCTTTTCTCGATACAGATTTTGTGCTAGTCCAATAAGCCGATGTATCAAAAAACCGAAAGCCAAAAAGAGTGGGAATTTAGTTTACCCGGTCAAAATGAGCAAAATTTGCAACTTTAAAAGCCTTTTTCGCAAATAAGGCAAAAAATGTGGAAAAATAAGATTTTCAGCGGAATTATTATGTTGCAATTGGTCTGCGAAACTCAAGGCCAAAAGCTTAACTCAAAAATGGGTCGTTTTGACATTTTTTTTAGCCAAACAAAAATTACGCTAACTCTACAGTCATTTGATGATCAAATCAGATCAACGTGAGCTTCTCATAAAGTACAACACAAGTTGTGGAAAGGTATGATCTCCAAAAAACTGTCCAAAATGTTTGAAAAATGATTTCAAGATGAGTTTTGCTTTTCGAATAAATGTTTCAAAACTATGCACTTTTGATGCTCTTCTAAAGACAGATTTGGTTCTACTGCATTTAACCGATGCCTCAAGAGTCCGGAAGCCGAAAAATAGGTCAATTTCTTTTTACTTCTGATTGAAGGTTTCTCCATTGCTGTTAAATAATTTTCGGTTAATTGCTACAATTCTAAGGAACTTCTTTGTAACTTTCCGTTTATTGCTACAGCCGCTTATTGTTTGTGCGACAAAAGCAGTGCACAAAATTTCAAAACTGGCGATGTTGAAAAAAACTTTGTAAAATTTTTTTTGCATGTTGAAAAGGGTTTTGAATTTGAGTGCTCGTTGACTAAATATCAAAGACATAATTTTTTTCGATGATGCAAAAATATCATGAGAGTTGAAACTCCCAATGGCAAAAGTAATTTCTAACAAGCTGGAAATTCAGTTGAAGAAGGAAACGAACTTATTTGCTCAAAAACGAGTTGTTTATTTTGCAAAACAAAATTATGCCAAAGTGTTCTTCAACAAATCTATCAAGAAATAATATTTGATGTCGTTTTAGCTTGATGCATTGAAGCATCAATTTTTTTTCCTAAAATTGCTCCAGGGAAAATAAATATTTCAAAAAAGATTGAAGATGAGATTAGTATCAAAAAAATTCATTCACAAACCTTAAAATACTGTATATGAACGTGTGCATCAAAATGATTTTGCATTAATTTGATAGCATTCTTGATCCCTCAAGTCATACACCTGAAATATTTTTTTTCTATTTCCTGATTTTCAGATTTTTGGGAAAATTTTAATTTTTTTTAGTATTGACTTTTTACGATGTATTCAGAGCCATATTTTAAACTGTTGATTTTTTTCATATATATATAACTCAAAATACAAATATGTATAATTACACACATATATATATATATATATATATATATATATATATATATATATATATATATATATTTATATAAAACTGAATATACGTTCTCCAATAATTTTGAATTAAAATTTAATCTGTAACTTTTACTTTCTAGTTTTACTTTAAACTACTCCAAAACAATACGGTATGTGGAAAAAAACGGGTCATCAAAAATTTACTTAATTGTTTGAAAAGTATATAAAAAACGAATTTGAATTGTTTTAGTTTAAAAAAACTGCAGCTTCAAAATTAAATACTTTTTTGTTATTGAAAATCTTTTTAGTCAGTTGTTCCATATAAGTTTTGCAGCTTTTCAACGCAGCTAATTGTAAAAATTCCAAATCTAGAGTAACGCTTTGCAAAGTACGCAGCTGACTTTTTCAGCCCTAAAACTGAAGAAGGATATTTTATGACTGTTTTAGGGATTCTAATTTGAAAGTTTCAAATCTTAACAAATTTGCCACTGTAAGTTTATAACTAAATCAAGACAGCTTGTTAGAGAATTTTTCTGCAAAAATGTTTCACGAACGCGATAATTTAATGAACAGCTAATTTAAAAAATATTGGCAATGTATGACAGTTTATTGGTGTCTGTATAGTAGCT